AGCGTGGGGTTTGGACGCTCTCCTGGCGCAGAGGGTGCCGCGAACCGGCTGGGTGTACAGGAACGTGGCGAATCCCGAGAGCGTGTCCGACCACATGTACAGGATGGCGATGATGGCTTTGGTGACCGAAGACAAAAGCCTCAACAAGGACAGGTGAGACCGCCGCTGCGTGTCTGGCCGTGTGTTAATGGCGTGCGTGGGAGAGCCTCAACCAAAACGTTTTAAATAGCTGCCATCCTGAGGAGGAGCTTGTAAAATAGACTGAAGGAATTCGAAATCCTGCCCCCTCGCCTTTTTCCACCGTCCTTTGGACAGAGTGCTGTTTACCTGGAGAGCTGAAAGGGGCTGAAGACTTTCATTGCTAAATTTCAGGTGCTATGGTTCTGAGCTGGCCTCCTCCCAAGCCATAAGTAAGCAAGCTGGAGACACTCAGTTAAAACACAGGTTGAAGCAACAGGCATCAAAGGCAAAGCCATACACCGTGTGGATCTTGACAGATCTAGCACTTGGCAGCAGTAAGGATTCTCAGAAGTCATATATTGTAGAAGAGAAAGCACCATTAGTGTTGAAGGAGTTGTCAGGTCTGGTATGGGGCCATGCTCACTTTGACCTTTCAGGAGCTGGTGAAAATAGTGATGGTTTTTTTGAGTATTCTGCTGTAGACTGACATAGCTACAGAGCTGTGTCAGATGATACACTGAATTTGGGGTGGCTCCAATCAGATTACCATATGCCTATTGCAGCATTAATGTGAAGTGTATAGTGTAGTTCATGATCATGAAATCTCCAACAGCCAAGCATACAAAGGCTGAGTACGTTATTAGAAGCTACTTTCCTTAACAAAGAAGTGAAAAATGTTTTGTAAAACTGAAAAAAAAAAAGAAAAAAACACTCTCTCCCACCCTTTAGAATACATGAAGAGTACAAATTATACATTAGCTTTGTGAATAATGAGATATAACTTAAAATGCTGAAAAACTAATTATTCTGTCTTTGCTTCTTGTCAGATGCATACGATTAGCTTTGGTGCATGATATGGCTGAATGCATTGTTGGAGATATTGCTCCTGCAGATAATATCTCCAAAGAGGAGAAACACAGGAGAGAAGAGGTATGGTCATAAGGTGTAAAGCTACATCTGTGAATCTTATTTCTGCCTGTTTTTAAAGTTCTAGTAGTGAAGGGACCCTCCAAGAAATGTAACAGTGTCATTGGCGTTAGACGAGTGTGCCAACAACCAAAGTTTTCAAGTCATTGTGGTTTTTGTAAATGTTGTGTCATCCAGTATAAAGTTATGGAAGGACAACCCTTGAAGTCATCTTCATGTTTGCCCTTTATTCCTGAACTGGCTGGATTTTTGGTAGCCTGAATTAGTCGTGTTGACCAACCTTATCAAGAGTTTAGCAGAGAGTAGGTGCACTGAGGAGGGTGGCAACAGTTCATGGTGGATCATTTATGTGATCCCAGATCAAGTGATTGTGGCAGAGATTTTATTTCAACCATTTTCACAGGACTCTAGACACAGGTGTCTTTTTTTTTTTTTTTTTTTTTTGTCCTGAATCTTTGAGTGCAGCATGCCTGGAGTTGTTTTGTTTTTGGCCTTGCGCATAGCCAAACTGTTGGTTGGTCATTTCTGGTTTGTTGTAGTATTTGGAGAAATGCAAACCGCTCCTTCAGCCACAGGTAGAGGGCAATGTGATGCCTTAGAAACTTAGAGGCCAGAATTAGCTCTTCAAAGAGTGTAAAAACTGTTGCAGTGATTATTGCCTTTCCCCTTTTATGCTTATGTATTTAAAACTTGGGGTTAGAGGGTATGACTAACTCTGGGAGTAAGCTCTTTGCTAAGAAAGTGGAAATTAAAGATTAAAGGTGTATTCGGCATTATTTACTAGCTGCAATTTTGGTATTTCTTCTTTGGATGTACTTCCTAGCATGTTCTGGCACTTAACAAAAAAACCCTCTTCTCTGGACGCTTTCAAAGATGGTTTTGTCACTGAGGATCAGGCTGCGACTTTGTCTGGGAGGGAATTCTCATTTGTATTTAAGCAATGCAAAAGATATTTTGATGCCTAAGTATGTTGAGGAAATTTTCTTAAGTATTTGCAGTTCCTTCTGCTCCCATTTCACTCAGTGAGGACTTTGCTGTTGACTTTGTGGGAAAGAGGGTCAAGCATTAAACATTCAGGCTGATTCTCAAATCCTTTGTTGTAAAAATACACCAAGGGCAATGGGTTTCATGAGGTGATTTGAGCTGAATTACCAGAATGCTGTTTCCACTGCAGAGTTCTCCTTTTTTTTTTTTTTTTTTTTTTTTTTTTTTTTTTTTTTTTTCTTTTTTCTTTCTTCTTTTTTCCTTCCTCTCTTCTCTCTAATCTTCTCTACAGCTGATGTTGAGCTGGTTCTGAAGTTTGCTGCTTGTGCAGTGAGTTTAGTCAGCTAGTCTCATCCAGGCTAAGGAAGAAGAAAAGGAACTTGATATATAAAAAAAGAAAAAGCTTGTTTTATTTTCTTTGGGGTTGGTTGTTTGATTTTCTTTTGCCAGTTAAGTCATTTCGGCCTGATAACTTTGAAATCTGAGGAGCACCAGAGCTGGGAAGGAATGAGACCTTGATGCTTCAGTGGTGGGGAGCAGCTGATTCAGTTTAGCCATAATGTGAAACCAGAGACTGTATTGGAAGTGGAGAGGCAGTAATGGCGAAAAAAACCTTTGTCTTGCCTGTGATGTTGATTGTTTTGGAAGCAGCCAGTAGCATTCCTAGAGAAAGAGTAGAAATAGCACAGAAAGGAGGCTGGTAAGCTGGGAGAGCATGAAGAGCGTGCAGAACAGTTTCTGTGTGCTGGTTTTCGCATCAGTTTGATGCTGCATTAAACCTTTTACAAAGATTTTTTATTTTTGAACAAAGTCTGCCTTAGTCTGGGAGCATGGTGTTTTATTGCTGCAGGGTATGAAATAGATTTTTTTTTTTTCCTTGTTTTTTGAAATTGGTGATTAATTTTAAAGGCTTGTGTTGCCTGCCTGGCAGTCAGTAGCTGTTCTCAGCCCTGCCAGTGGAAGTGGGCTGGTTTGGTGTTTGGGACAAGCAGTCACTTGTCAACACTAGGAGTTAGTATTTTGAAGCTGCTTTTATGAACTGCACCTGGAACCTATTAAGTTCAAATGTTGCCTCCACTGCTTAAATCTGGAAGGCAGAGCTGATAATTGACAGTAGTTCCCTGCCATTTGACTTGCCTGTTTTGCTCTGGGCTGCTTTTGGGACTCTAAAAGGTCTTGGTTGGATTTCCAGGTTGGTTTTCTTGTGGTTTAGACTAGTTCTTTAACAAATCTACTGAAGCAGCTCTCAGAAAAGATTCTTCACTAGGTGGTCTTAGTGTTTCTCTGTCAGATTTATGTACATGTGCACTTTAGAAAAACATACTGCATACTGTACTTTTCTACAAACCTGATAACAAGCAGTTAATTCTTCAAAAAAGATGATATAAATTGTCTTGCTGAAAAAATGGATAAATGGAAATGGATGCTTTTTTTCAGGCAGCTATGCAACAACTGACCCAGCTTCTGTCAGAGGACCTGAGAAAAGAAATATATGAACTCTGGGAAGTAAGCTTGCATTCTTTTAATCCTTTGCTAAAATTCAGAGTGACCTTCAGAGTGAAGAGCAGTCTCTTCCTGCTTACCTGGGACACTGCTGTCTCTTATTTTGACCTCAAGCTAGGTAGGTTAATTTGCTTGAGTCAAGGTCCTTTTGGAATCCTTTTCAACCAGAAACCCCAAACGTTAGTAAAATAACCAGCTTCTGGCTTTGGCCTCTCAGAGTTGCAGATGCACCTCTCCAGAGCTTGTTTGGCACAACTGAAGGAAGGGTTTGTCCTCTATAGCCAGCCCTTTTCCATATAAGTCTGGGGTTTTTTACTACATTATCTTTTTTTTTTTCACATCTGGCAGTTTGCAGTTTGTGGCCTTTTAATACAGGAAAGAATAATGGGAGCTGATGATGCTGTGGAGTATTTTCTGCTTTTTATGCTATTAATAATTTATATGGCTTCTGTTTCATTAATATATAGCCCATTAGGCTAAAATATTTAGTAATAATTTCTAGTTTAAACTTAAATGTGGTGTGCTGACACAGTACAGTGCTCTTCTACTAACAACACAGATTGCTGGCTGGTCCTGAGTACCTTAAATTTTTGCATTGGAAAGTATCTCCTGTATTTGAAGGTCATTTAACTTTTTGATGAGAACTCATGTTGTTAATTGACAAGATCCTTCATACTGGCAATTTAAGGATGATTAGATTATTTCCAGACAATTTAAGTTTGTAATCACTGTGCTTTATCTTCTGCTGGCACACAGTCACATGGGGACAAGAGCATCTGCAAACTCTTGCTCACATGTTGCAAACAAAATGTATGTTTCTTGGACTCTGTGACCTAAAACTGTATTTTATACAGATATTCCTTTTCCATTTGAGTGTATTTAAATCCCAGGTATTTGCAGCCAATTTCTGCCTTTTGTTACAGCACCCTTCTTGTGTTTTGTTTTTTTTTTTTTTTTTTTGTGGTGGTGGTTGTTTGCTTTTGTTTTGTTTTTTCCCTTGCTGTATTTGTGTGGTGAAACTGGCAATGGGGTATAGGTTTTCTGTGCTATAATTCAAGGCAAAGGAAGTAAACCAGCGTAACCAGACCTAGGAAATAATGTGTTTGCATTTGTTTAGTGAGCACTAGTTCCTACTCCCTTGGGAAGCTGTTAGAGTTGAGGAAAAGGAGATTTTGATAGATCAGCCTTGTAGGACTTCTTTGTATGTGTTTCTTTTTCTTTGCTTCAGTCTTCTCTTCTGATCGTATAAGAGCTAGTTTAGTATGCAGTTGGTTCTTCAGCATGTTAGCTTTTTATCATTCTCATTAACCGTAATTTAACACATGCTCACTTCTGATCATTTGTTCTTTCTTTCTACTTTTGGGATTGTTCATTGGCATTGGGTCTCCAATGCAGCAGAATAACCCACAGAGCAGCGAGTGTAACCTGAAAATGTAATATTCACATGTAGTCCCTCTAGTCTTATTTTAAATGGAATGACTACGTGCTTCTTAAAAAGAAAGAAAAGAAGAAAAAACATACAGAAAAGAAGCCTCTGATCACTTGGTGTGATACTCAGCTAGCCAGAGGCATTTCCCTCTAATTTCTTTTTGTGAGTGAAGGAAGTTCCAGCCCAGAGCTGAACAGTGGCTGAGACAAAATCTGTTGATATTCTCAGCCAGTCTTCACTGCACTGCTCTGCCCGTGTCTCTGCCTCCCTTTCCCTTTCAGCCTCACAGGACTATTGCTCTGGGCTGTGCTGCAGGATGCTCTGCAAATGTAGTGTAGGGGAGAAAGGGAGCAGGAAGATGCCTCTGATGTATTTTCACTTCATAACTTAATCCAGAATGCATTTGAAAAAAAAACATTAAAGAGTCAGCACACTTCATCTCTGTCCTGCTTTTTTACTTTCAAAAGCAAAACTAGAGGAGTAATTTTCAAAAGCCCACCTGTGGTGTTTGAGAGCCCAGTTACTGTTTCTCTGCAGTATACTGTTATTTCACACTCTTAAAGACCCGCGGGGAGGGAACAGCAAGTGCACTGTGCAGAGTTGCACTTACAGGAGCTGAAGTTTCTTGAGATTAATGTGAGCTGAGGTATGAGTAAAGTCTAAAATCTGGTGGATTGTATGGCACAAAGAGATTGGTAACAGATTGGTAGGCCAAATTAATTGCTGGAGGTGAGACAGACCTTTACAGGCAAACAGCCCTAGTTCTTCTGAAGTTCTCCTTGGTAATGCTGCCAAAAGTTTGTTCTCTTTGGTGGCCAGAATAAAAAAGAGTAGAGAGAAATAAATTTAAGAAAATAAGAAGTATTTAAATCACGTAAAGATGAGGCAAAGGTCGGATTGAAAGGGGGAAAGGAAGGTAAAAATGTTGAAAAGCAGTTGATTATGAAAATAATCATAAAAGTGTAATTGAAAATTCACAGCATGGTTCAAATCCACATAGATGCGTATATGAATCAGTTGTGGCTATCAGAATCTGGATTTCTGACTTTTCAGCCACAGTCGTCTTCTTAAGGTGCAGAAGGAGGTGCCACATTCTGTGGTGGGCGGGAGCAGCTCTCGGTGCCCCTGTGCTGGTCGGTGTCACCTGCATGCTGCGGGCTGTGGGTGACACCAGTGACACCGCGGAGCACTGGAGCCGCTGCTCTGATCGATGGTGGCCTGGGTGGTGAAGGGGGTCAGCCCTCCTGAGGGCATCGAGTTGGTGGCAGCTGGAAATGGGAGTGACTCACAGATTGATACTGGTGGTGACTGGAGAGAGGGGAAAGAGAGCAGAGAGATTAAAGGACTTAGTCTGAAGGGGAGGAAGCCCCCTAAAGGCTCTCCTCCCTGTCTTCCAGCAGAGACATAAAGAGGTAAGCAGCTCAGACAGGTTAGACCAAAGAGATTAAGAAGGAGTGACAGGAGAAACGTAGAGAGCAACTCCTTATAAAAACAGCAAGTGATGGAGAAAAGAGCAAAATAGGCCTCAAAAACAGGTAATGGTACTGCACAGGCACACGCTGTGGTAATTCACAGCTTTAGCCAGGCCTGGAAAGATCTTTACATATAAAATTATGTTGTTAAAAGGAACCTATTATGTAAGTTGTATATTGTGGAGGGTTGTCTCCATATCATCCCTAATTGAGCCAAAACACTTGGTATATTTAGAGTATGCAGAAGAGCTGTTTTCTTAAGTCCTATTTCATTTCTTGGTAGGTGCTTATTTTGAGTGTTCTGCTGAATAGCAGTCTTAAAAAGAGAGTGAAAGACGTAACTGTCAGAAGTGTTTATGGAGTGGCTTGTACTAAAAGAAAATTCTAGATATATATAAAGAGCTTCTAATATTCTGTTTCCTAACAAAAATTTTTTTTTTTTCTTATAACTGCAAATCTTTTCAGGAATATGAAAACCAGTCTACTGCAGAAGCTAAGTTTGTAAAACAGTTGGATCAGTGTGAGATGATACTGCAGGCATTTGAGTATGAAGACTTGGAAAACACACCTGGCAGGCTGCAGGATTTTTACAATTCAACTGCTGGTATGGCATTCTTCTTTTGTAGATGAAACAAAATACACAAATTGCCTTTTTTCTAATAGGCATCAAGGGCAAATGAGAGGTAGTTATTTTACTCCTTGCTTGAGTCCTGTAAATATTTTTGGTGAAAATTACTGCAATGTGAAAATACATTTATCTGTAGGTATTGAACCTGAATTTAATTTATGCCAAGTTCCTTTTCCATTAATTTTCCATAGAGAGGAGCCCAGCTTTCATTGTCCTTGCATGTGTTTAAGGAACTCCCTGTCACATCAGGGGGGGCATAAGAAGGCTTCAGTTTTCACTGGTGCTCTGGCAGCAGCTTGTTTCTGCTTTGTTAGCATTTAGTGAATCGGTGAAATAGAATTTGTTATCCGTATGTGAGCTGTTGTCCTGTGCGACCTGCCCAAGGTACCTGTGAGAACCAGCTCAGTGAAATATTTTAAGTACAATTTTATCACTTTTTATTCCTCCCACTGCCTTTCGTCCCTTCCAAAACAAACTAATGCTTGAAAGGAAAAATAGGTACCTTTTTTTTTAACAAGGTACAAGGAACACTAGAAGAAGGCTGTGACTCCAAGTTGTCCTATCCTGGGGAAAAAGTAGGGACAAAAACTTGGAGGAAGGACCAGCAGTCACCAGACACAGTCCCTGACAAGTCTCATTTATGCCTTGGTGACTCCTCAGGGAAATACTAAGTTGTCTGAAAAATGGAATAATTTGCTCAGGGAATAAGGAAAAAAAGGCAGCAACAAAGCTGGAATATTTAATTTTCTAATTGACATCTTTGCCCTCGTACCAGAATTTGTTAACTTAAATGGAACTGGCGTCTCAGTAGAGCCTACAGCATGTATCTTAAGTGCACCTGGAACTGGGGTGGTTTCCTGCAGCAGGGTACATACTATGGCATTATCTTGGGCAGGGTGCATCCCTTTTTCAGCACTTAAGTGTCTTAATAGAGCATAAAGTATTTTTGCAAGTTTTTTTTTTAAGAATGGCTGTAGCCGTTGTTATAGTTATTCCACAGTTGGATTAAACTAAGGGTACCTTCTTCCTTAAAAGAATAATCTGAGATTTATGCAGAGCCTAAAGTGACATCATTGCTAATGTTTCACACACAGGCAAATAAGAGCATTTTTTTAACTTTCCTTTTCTTTTCTTTTGCAGGGAAGTTTGTTCACCCAGAAATACTCCAGCTTGTATCTCTGATTAACATGGAAAGGAATAAAAAAATATCTGCTACATCTCATCCACATTCCTGAGGTGTTCCTAAATGCTGTAGCTGTAATAAATACTTTGTTTTATATTCTGTGCATTATTTTTCCTCCTATAACATTACTAATTCTGCCAGCAGACATTTTTCTGTGTGCTCACTGCTGAGAATGTGAGGACAGCTTAGGCTGGAGCAGGTAAGACAGTTACCCCCCCAGATCAGAGGTTATGCCAAGGGTCATATATTGAGAATTTGCCTGTTTGGTTTTTTTCCCATTTCTTTTTAATCAGCCTCTGATTGATCCAGTCTCGGTTACAAATGATTCTGCACTGGGGAAATTCATGTAGGTTTAAAAGTCAGCAGATTGCAGCCTCGTCTGTTCTTGTAATGCACTGACTGGGACTGGTACTCCTGTTCTGTGACTGCCAAGGGTGTGTTGTGGATTCAGGCACCTCCTGTATCAAACATGTAGCGCGGTGAAGAGGCGTGAGCACAAGTGAGACCAGTGAGCACGTTTCTCTTGAAGTTCTTGACAAAGCCAGACACAGAGATGAGGTTTCTTTGGAGTGCATAAGCCACAGAAGTGATGGTGGGTAAAGCTGGTGAGCTCATTCATTACAGTTTCTCCATATGTTTGTTTCATATGGTTTTCTGCTGTTTATGTATCAGGGAGCAGTGCTGACATTCAGTAAGGCCAGTGTTCCTGACAGCCCCTCGCCCCTGACTGGTGGTTTTAGACTTGGGATTGCTGAGCCTGGGAGGGACCTTTGGAGCTTGCACAGGTGGTGCACAATCCCGCGTGTGGGTGTAAAGTCTGTCCCTCGTTCTGGCTTCCATGGGTGGGAGCTGATGCTGCTGTAAATGGCAGTGACTGGCAGAAGCAGTGGTGTGTCAGCACAGCCCATCCCAGTTGTTGGGTAGAGCTGTCGTGGTGGTCAGTGCCATGATCAGGCCAGTCTGCACCACTGACTGTTGCATCGTGTTCTGTAGCTGGAGGCTGGGGCGATGTCAGGACTACCAGGCAAGGGGAGCTTTCACCTGGAAGAATGACACAGCGATGAGCTGGAGCTAGGTTCTCTGTCCTCAGCCGTGTGTCAAACGAGGCAGCATAAAGCTAGCTGGAGCTGTCAGCCCCCGTGAAGGCCGGCAGTGCAGCCGGGCACCCGTCTTCAGGCACCAGGGCCCAGGAGAGGTTGCCCTCACCTGAACCTCAGGGTCCCCCATAGAGGCTGGTGCTGTGCTGAGTGGCTGGCACCTTGGGCAGAGCAGAGCAGAGCACAGGGCAGAGCTGTTGCAGGGCACACACCTGGCAGAGCTGTTCTGGGTGAGATGTGGGGTGCCTGCTCGGCTCAGGGGACCCCACACGGCAGCAGTTAACACCCTAGGGATGCCCTGGAAGAACCAGCTGCACTTTACCGGGCAGTATGAAACTGCTCAGTAGGTGGCGGACTCGCACCGCAAGCGTGGTGGAGTGGACCCATCGTTCTTCAGCACCTTTCTTCTGCTGAGATGCACACAAGCTACAGTCTCCATCAGCTGGTATTGATTGCTGGGCAGGAAGGAGCTACAGAGATGGACTGAAAGACCTGACCGAGAACATTCTTGACCAAGGAGAAGGGGCCTTACAGAGACCTTGCTAGCGACAGCACGCAGGCGCTGCCCCAGCAGGAAGGGCCGGTTCCTCCAGCGCAGCAGGAGCCTTCGCTGGCCCCAGTACCCTGCTCTGCAGGGGTCGGAGGAGCTCTGAACCCCAGCCAGCAGTGCAGTGGTGCATGGTAAATGTCATCCTGGAAAGTGTACATTCTGCTTTTGTTGAAAGAACTCCAGCAGGGGCTTTGTTAAATTACAGTCCCTTCCACCCGCTGCAGTTGCAATTGTGCGTGAGTTTTGGGCGCTGCGTTTTAGTAGAAATAAGAATTGGTTGGAAAGGGGCTGGAGAAGAAAGTGCGATTAGAAAGCACAAGCTGTGATGACAGATTGATAGCAGGGTTAGCAAACAGCCTGTGGGGCTTCAGCAGTGCTGGAGTATGCTCCCTCACATGTCAGAAAAGCATGCTAGGTCCTGGGCATGCAGCCTGTGAAAGGCTGCCACCTCCTCCCATGTCTTTCTCCTGGTCTGTTCATAGCAGCATTGACCCTACACAGGGTAGCAGCTGCTGTAATGACAGTAAAGTGTAAGGATTTACATGGAAGAAAAGATTGGGACTCCATGTTTTACCCTTGGTTTGGTGCTGGCCCTACTCAAAAGAAGGTCAGTAGTTCTAAACCTAGAAGATGTTTTCTGCCATGTGTTTCATTTCTACTGAACTTGGTTCAATGACTTTTCTGCTTTGAAGGTCAAAATTTTCAAAACTTGGGCCACAGATTTCCCTGGGGAATTTCAAGTCCAGAGGGAACTGAACAGATTTTGAGAACTGTAGTAAATGCAGATGATGTTCTTGCAATTTACCTTGATACTCTGCTGTGGCACAGCAAGGCTGAGGGGGGACATGGTAATGCTGGTGAATACTCAGAATTAAAACATCACAAAGTGTAAAAGAGTAAGAGAGAAATTTGTTTTTAATAAGAATATCAATGACTTCATTTACACAAAGTTACCATTAATATCTTCTTCTTTTAAATAAGTTAACATTTAGGCTCAAAACCATGTAAAATAAGCGAGCAAACTGTCACAAGAGAACTACTAAAAAAACCTTGATTAGATTTGTTTCCATGCTAAAATCACACTAAAGAGGCATTTGATATAAATGTCCAAAGTTAACTTGTGTCCAGTAGGACATCACAAAACGATTTCCCACTTTGTAAAAACTACAACAAAAGCTACACAGGGGAAAAAATAAAAAAAAATTACTTAAAGCCAAGTTTTCTCACGAGATTTTAAGCAGTCTGTAATGTCTAACTCACTAACACCGATTGGAAGCTTTGGCTTCTGCTCAAAAAAAATGCATCCTTTCTGAAAGCAGCCAGACTGTTTTCCATCTTGTTTGTACTTTGTCGATAAAGTTGTGCTCATCTCAGTCTGGTGAGCCAAGTAATGCAACACGCAGACTGACACATGCTCGCTAGACAGTGACACAGTGTCACAAGTGCACCGCTCTTTTCTTTAAAAAAAAATTTTAAAAGGATGCAAGAAAACATGCTGAATCAAAGCTGAGAGATGACTGGCTCTCAGTGACTGATTAAGCAGCTATAATGCTGTTGGTGGAATTATGTCCTGGAGCGAAGCACGACAAGATTTGACACCAAAAGTGAAGCACCTATGTATCACGTGTACAGCAGCAGCTCTGCAGCGCGGAGGGAAGGCTCTCACCTATGGCACGTCTTCAGCCAAGTGTGGGGTTTGTGTTCTTTCACTTAAGGCTCTATTCTTGACTGAGGCTCATAAATACACCTTCCCTTATTATTTTTGAGGGGAAGATACAGAGGCAAACTTTGTGGTTCCCTCTGCTCCACTTCTTTCTGTAAATAACTTGTACTGACAAGTCCCACCAAGCCACAGAGAGCAGGCAATGGAACCTATTTTTAAACTGAAGCTTTTCCAAGCTACAAAGATCTTCTCAAATCAGCAGCTGTGATCAGTTAAATTTCTATATGAATAACTAGGTGTCTCTGTCTGTCCTCCCTAACTCTGCTGACTAATGTTATGGAGGACAATGCCAGACTGTACAAGTGCCAGAGAAAAACCTTTTGTGACAATAAGTGATTTTAATTCTGTTAGGAACTAGATCATGTACAGACAGCCCTGAGCAAAGGACACCTGTTGTGGCTGGTAGACAGCTGGTACAGGGACTAGTGCTGGAAATCTTTCCACAGCTCGAGGTACACCTGTCTGATGTGGCACTGAGAGGGGAGTTGGAAACCAGCAGATATAAAACATTAAAAGAAATAAGAAACAGAGAACCGGGAGATTGTTGGAGAGAAGTTAGGTGAAAATGAAAACTATTTTAGTCATTTAACATACAGAGTTTAGAGCATTATAAATCAATGACTTGTGTGTGGTTTCTGTGGTGTACAAAGTACCCGCTAATAAAATGTCCCATCTGAAACAAATAGAGGAGATGTTTCACCAGCAGAAGGCTAGGGAGGCAATTTTCCAAAGCTGACAAAAACTTGTTGCACAAGTTGGGTGGCGAGGCAGGTGTAAAAATCACTGGCTGGGTAAGTCTCTGAAGAGAGGCAACGAAGGCTCAGGAGGGGCTGGGGTCTAACACTGAAGCTCTTCTTCGCTTTCAGGGAGTCGGGTGCCAGCAAGAGAGCTCTGAGCACTAGCATGGGCTGTGGAGCTGAGAACTTCTTCAAAGCTGCCCCCTGTGTGGCTTGTCCCACCAACCTTGGTCTGAAACAAGGCAAACAGAGAACAGCAAGTTCTATTTGTATCCCACCCAACGGCCATGGAGGGCTGGGAACTACTCAAAGCAGGCAGAGAACAAGCGGGGGTGGGCTTTTTTTAGAACAAAAGCTATAAAACCAGTCAAATAAAGCAACCCCTTTCCTCCCTCAGTTTCTAAACTTTTAGGCTGCAATCATAAAACCTGCCAGTGGCAATTATCATACGCTTAAAGGAACCAGTCCCTAAGGAGATCCCAGGCAGGATCCCAGATACCTACCAATAAACTTAGTGTGGTTCCTTACATGTGTAGCTCCTCATGCTGGTTTCACTGTTTTTACCCCCGTTCTACACAGGCTGGATAAGGGATGAGTATTAAAATGAACTGGTTCATTTGCTGAGTGAAGTGGCCCATCTGCCAGCAATGGTAACACAGCTGCTCTCAAAATACATAAACTGTCCTGGGATTTTGGTCAGTAGAAGGAATATAGTAACCAAAGAACAAAAAAACCAGCAGCTTGTCTCCCTTCAGGTACTTGTAGCTACCTAGATACTGATCAATACAACTGCCCATGGCATTTTCCTGTGGGAATGGCAGAGGAAAAGATATCAAATGGCATTAATGAAATATACAGTGTGCTCACAGGTCATCTACTTACAAATTCACAAACTGAAGCATTTTGGAAGTATAAGTATTAAAAATAAAACCCACTAAGGAAAACTCTGTTTCAGAGATTTAGTCTAACAAACACAGACCTTTATCTAAAGATTTGGAAATGGTCAAGACTCAGCTATGAAGAGAGAAAGCTGTCTTGACTGGGTTATCTTGGTAAGAGAATGTGCTTTTGTGGTGTGGCTAACTGATATGCCCAAAGTTGATTCAAGCCTGAAAAGGCAAAACTTTTTACTCCATCCAAGAACTGCAGCAGGACTTAAAGACAAGCTGACATTTTTCCAGCCTGTCAGCTGCTGAATGCTTAGGAAGATTATTTGCATTAAAGGAACTTTGTGTCTTAAGTTTCCAAAGGGTTAATCCTATGTAATCCTTTGTTTCATCAGCTAGGAGAGGAACTTGCCTAGTTTGAAAGTTCAGTAAAATGAAGTAGTAGTAGGCTTGATACTTGCTCTAACAGTTTGGTCACAGTGACTAAAAGTTCCCATCTCAAGAGGTAAAACACTGTATCCAGTTTAGTGTGCTTTGCTGACTGGTAGAAAGTGTCAGTCCATCACCGATTTTTGCAAACAGCAACACAAAACGCACGTATTGTTAAATGTTGGTAGGCACAGAACTTGCAGTGAAAAAGCAGCCACTGCCTAGCAAAGCTTCTGTTAAGTTTTCATGGCAAAACTCATTACTTTTATTTGCCAATTAAAATTCTGAAAAAAAAAAAAAAAAAACATTGATTCAGATTGCTCAGAGTGATTGTGAAAGTAGACTATTCACTGCACTATTTCAAATGACTCAGATAAGGTGTACCTGAATTTGGACACCTCAAAATCAGAACCATTAATGCAGTTTCATTTTCTATTTGCTTTTTCTTTCTACTCTTCCATCCAAAACCAAGAACAATGTAAGTCACTTTACTGAATGCCTCTGGCCAATACCCCAGTGTTTACACAAACATTAATTCATTGGTGTTCCAATTTTCAGAAAAGTTGAACAGAATCAGGCATCCAGGTCCTGTCAACTTCCAGGGGAAGCTGAACTAATAACACTCTCCAAAGAAAGCTGCAACCCAAAGTCCAAACTCCAAGAGCAAATATAAACTACTTTGGAATTTAACTTCCAAATATGTATGAAATCAGAACATCAGTTTTGGCTGACTATAGAACACTGTAGGACAACTGTAGATCTGCAGCTAATATTGGGAGAGGGATGAAGATCATGAGGCTACTGCTGGTTTTTTAATTTTTTTCAGAAGCCTCTCTCAGGAAGTTCTCTATTTTTTCAGACCACAACAGGATCCTAGAATTGAAGGGACAGCTTGCAATTTCTCCCTTCACCCTCCAGTGTTCCTCATCTTGCAAACCTTGGAACAGAGGCAGGGAAAAGAAAGAACAGTGCTGAGACACTCCCAGCTGTCTACAGCCTGTGTTAGTGGCACACTAGATCTATGACTATCTTCCTTTCTCCATTTGTCCAAAGAAATGAAAGAAAGAGAATACAGAAAGAAAATATTTCATAAAAATGTCAGTGAGTTTTCTGATAAAGATGGACAATTAAGGTTTCATGGGTTGTGGCAGATCACTTTAGACTCAAGACTTTTTGATTTGTCCTTCTTAATTAAAGATTCCTTAAAGGATGAGCTAAAAACACCCTGAACACATGACAGGCTAAGAGCCAGAATGACAAAGTCTCCTCTAGAAGGAGAAGCCTAAGAAAACAGAAAGAAATAAGACCAGGCTCCTCCAGCAGATCACCCCATGAGAAGAATTGGTCTTCACAACTGTGCAGTTTGAGCTGACTTTTCCTCTTTCTGAGTCACTGGATCATTGAGGTGACTGGACCCATACACCCCTCCCCTGATGCAGAAAAGACATCACTCATGTTTGTCCTTTACCCCTCAAAGCAAGGCAAAGGCTTTAAACTGTCCCCCTCGCAGGTTTGCCATAGTGTAGACGGAATAGCTTTATGGAATCTCAAGTAGTCTAGAAGAAAACTTGGGACCTTGAAGTACTACTGAAAGCCCTGAGAGTAGGTTTAGTGACTGAATGACTAAATGGGTACAAAAAGTGCTGCGTTTCTCCAGTCTTGTTCCTAACTTCTGTGTTGTGAAAAATGGGGAAAAAAAAAAGTCCATTTCAGACCTCAGGTGTTGCAATGAAGTCCATCCCTTATCTAAGTGGGTAGAAGTAGAAGGAACATAAAGAGATAAGGAAGTAACACACTTGGCTGCAACAGATCGGAATTCAGAACTTCAAAGACGATGCACTCCACTGCACTGAAAGATTTCTTATACAGTGGAGGTTGAGCATAAAAAGCGTTTGCAGCTAAGGTGAAAAGAATAAATAGGAAGGTGCACACAGGCACCGAGCTGGGGCTCCGGAGGTCTGTGTTCTCTTCTAGCTCCTTGGGATGCTCCTAGTCTTCCTCGGGATGCTGCCTCCTGTCCATGAAACCGAGATGACGTTTCCTTCTCTGACATGGTGCAATGGAGGTGACGTTACCCTACGTTATCATGTCTTAATCTGATGAGTAAGAACCATCAGGAAAAACCCCCTTGGTGCCCCCTGAATGTGGGTCACCATGCAGCAAAGGTATGCTTTTCGCTCACTGCGAATTTGCCATGCTCCGTCCTGCTGAGTAAGAGGCTTAACAAGTGCTATTCGTGGTACTCGCTAACTTTGCCATCAGACCTTCCTGTCTCACAGCTAATATATCCATGTAGTTTTGAAAATGTAAATCCTGACAAAACAATGAAAATCAGGAGGAAATACACCTGCATTAAAGACATACGAGTTCAGTGCTAAGAGCCACAGCAGTAGCATGAATCACACCCGAGTTACAGCATGGCTCTCAGCAGCTGAGTAAAGGCACCTGGTGAGTCCACCTCTAGTGCTGGAAGGAGTGTAGCTCAGGGATGGAAGCTCACTCTGCAGGCACACGGCTGCGTCTGGCAGGGCACAGCACAAAGCTCACGACGCCACACTGCTTTCAAAGTCTGACCTTGCATCTCCAGATGGCTCCACCTCGCACTGCATTATCAACTAACTGTAGTCACACCTTATGAGATGTCTCTGCTTTCCATTTTAGTATGGTTGTATTTTTTTTTTTCATTTCTGAAACCTTTTGTTTACTCTGACAGACAACTGAAGTAATTTCTAGTAACAAAGCAGAGAGATACAATTTCTCTGCATATTCTTTGTCTTTGTTTTCCATTACTGCTCCTGCAGTTCCATTGAATTCTTGATGGAACAGTAAATTCAACCACTTCCTGTACAAATGAAAGGGATAACTAAGCTGTCACCCTTTAACAAGCACAGCCACATAATTCAGGATCTAAACTTTACCTTAAGGCTTGTGACAGTGGTCTCAACCTTCTCCTCAAATGACTTGAATGTTGGAGAATTCCTAGGAGGAGAAAAAAGTTGAAGGAAAAAAAGGAAGAGTCAATTGCAAATGTAATGGGGTAACTCCACAAGTTGATCAGTTCTTACCAGGCAACAGTGCTAGGGCAGAATGAAGGCTGGCTGGCAGCATAGGGCTATAGACTCACAGGGTATGAACTTGTGTTCTGTCAGTCAAATCCAATTACAGTAATCAAATGGGAATTTTTTAGCTACAGATTTGCAAAAGCAGAACCTGCCTAGTAATTGAAAGCAAACAGTGACTGGCCTGCCTGCCCTCTGGTACATTTATCATGTTTTCAGACGAACAACCAGGGAGCATTAACTGTAGTACTGCATTTCTATGGTTTTATCCATTTGTCTTCTTGCGGTAAAAAAATTAACTTTTTTTTTCAGTTGATAAGCAAGTTTGTAATCTACATAATTAAAAAGATGACAGTTTAATGCCCTGAGACTAGGATGCAGGAGATTAGAATGACATAGGAAGTAGGTCCCAAACGCCTTTGAGGAATCCTGTCCCCACTCCATGATTTTTGTGACTGCAGGTGTGTCCTGCTGATTTCAAAGACAAAGACTTTTGGGAGGCTGTGTTCCTATGGGTGCCCCTCTGACAAAGCTAAGCTTTTCTCTGCCTTTTACTCCTCAGAGAACAGAACACAACATTGTTTTTGGAAAAACTGTGAATTGAACATATCTTAAATGAATAAAAAAGAAAAGGGGCAACAGCTGTGATTTGCCTTCTTATATTATGAATATAATGCATATGGTGTTTTAAAGTGAGAGTATGGTTCCTCATAGACATCTATACTTAAGTTGCCCCTCAGTTGCTTAGACAAATGCCTCTTCTTCCCTTTTTGCAGCAGCCTCCCCCACTGCTGATAATCCCTGTCCCATGTAGGAAGACATGCTAGAAACAAGCAAGCTGGAGTGAGTACAAAAGCTTGTCTTGTCCTCCAGCAGGTTCAGCCAGAACAAAGGACTTGAGCAAATCTGCAATGGGTAAAGGGGACCTTCTGGTTCTCTGCTCCTTGCTTGACAACAGAGAGCTCAATTGCAGCTCAGAAACTGTTGTCCAGCAAGGCTCCTCTTGTACTTTCTTTACCATACGAAACAAAGCAGTGGCAAGACCTTTCTAAACCCTGTGCAGTACAATGAAGCAGTTAACTTAATCGAGTGTTTAGTTCCTCAGCTTTTGTTTCACCTGTCTGTTGTGGTATATTCAGAAAGAGATTATAGAAACTACTACCTCTGAAAGTGTAGGGTACCTCTTAACAACATGGCTAACAGGATGCACTAAACTCACAACATCCATTTGTTCCTAGACAAAATAAAACACAATAGTGGTCTTTAACCATCACAGAGGTTCCTTAGCATGGAACAATGAGGCAGAACCACTTCACCCTGGCAGGTGCCTCTGTGTCAGCCGTGGGGAACGGCAAACCCATGCAGAAACCTACACTTCGTTTTGCAAAGCAAGGAAAGCCAACGGCTGCTAAAACTTTAGTGTTCCAGTTCGTCCTCTTTGCGCTTTCTGGGATCTTACCAGGAGCATGATGATGGCCTTCGTTTCTGCAAACACATTTACATCATACCCCTCATCAAGCTAAGTTAAACTGCCTCTAATTTAAGGAACGAGCAAATGTAAGCCAGTTGGGAAAATAATGCAGATTTGCTTTAGGTTTCTGTTAAACAGATGACAAACTTTTCATCGAGGAAGAAGGGTCAAAAGAAGAGAAAAACTAGTTTTATGACTTACTCTTGACACATAGCCCACACTGCTGAATGCTTGCCTTAAACTGCCTAAACCTGCTGAAGTTGAGTGAATTAGCATGTAGCTAGAAGACTTGTTCTCCCTATATGCAGGGAGTGGAGATATTCATATACTTAGAGGCTAAAGAGATAGAAAGCTGGATCCTAATTTTATTGAAAACAGTTGGAGCCTTACTTGAACAGACATCAATATTTGGCTGCAGTTAAGTAAAGCATGATTATAGCCATTAAAATATGAAAGCGCTCATATAAAATCCCTCCCCAGGAGCATGATCCAAAGCATGCTGGAGTGAAAAGCATCTCTGATGTTAATGGGCTTTGGATGATATTCTGGAGACAGCAAAACAACTGACTTTCAGATTCGGTAATACAAACTTGACATCAACTACCCAAATACATCTCAGAACTGCTTCATTTACCCAAAGGCTTGTACAAGAGATTAACCAGTTAATACAATTAAAAGAAAAAAAAACCACAGATGGCCTGCCCTGCAGCCCTCATCTACAAGAATAACCTTAATTAATTGAAGTGGGACTATTCATCCAACTAAAACTGCAGGATCAGGATCAAAGTATGCAAATCCCCCCCTCATTACACTGTTGAACATCACCATAGCAAATAGAATAGCATATTACCTCATTGCAGGCATGCTTATGGAATGGCGAATAGAGTAACTGTGGGATGAAAGCAAAAGATAAGGGAGAAAAAAAAAAGCTGTAAAATTCTGTTTGCAACATGATTATAACATACAAGTTTTAATTTTTAAAAATAACTTAGAAAAAAAATAAATCTGTGTTTTCATGAGTGCTGGTACTGTTAATCTCCTGATGGCAACAGCTTGTCAAACCCACCTCTGAATTCTATCTCACTTTCAGCACTGAAGATCTTACCACCACGTTCTCACCTCAACTGATCAACCATTTAACAGGGCTCAAAAGAATGATGCAAAACAGCTCCTGCCCATATCTATTTAAATGACACAGACATCTGCTTACTCCAGACACACAACATGTGACAGAGGAACAGAGATCTACCTCCATGATAAGCTCCGTGTTGGGTGACCACAGTATGCCTCAGGTTTGTGGACGTAACAGAGCTCGTTCAGGGCTGCAGGTAAGCAGGCAATTGCCTAGGTTGCACGCACAACATACAAAACCAAAAACATACTGTCCAAACAGCCAGCGCTGGCCCCCAGTTTGTACAGGTTCCTACACAACAGGCTACCTAAACAAGAGGTTTCTTCAGAGGCAAGTCTCTCAGCTGTAGCAGTTGCTGTCCCTGTTCTTCTAGGATATTTTATCTCCTCCTTCACTACTTAACATTAATAAGGGTAGAAAGCTGAGTTCCACATCTCTCATCCAGCTCTCCTTGAGACGCTTCCCTCCCAAGACTTCTCAGAAGCAAGAGTACTGGAAGGTTGGCAAGCAGAGGATGAAGCCTCTGCATCATTCAAAGATCCCTGAATCATCTCCCACACCTTCAACCCTGCAGATGGCCGCCCACTCTAACCACTTTGCTTACATTAGCCACATTCTCCCACCTGAGCCACCAAACCCAACCTTGCTATTTTAGCATCACCTATTCCCTGCTGCTGGGAAGCATCTATCCTGTTTTGGATAAGAATCTTTTTTTGAAGTATAAAGAACTGTCCATAAGTACATCTTGATCTGAGTATTTTAAGTAAACTGTGCACTGCAAGAGTATGTATTGTTTCAAAAATTCATGCAAGGCTACTTTCAATGGTGACTGACAGCTGCAGCCTGTTCTGATGGAGACCAGTGAGAGCTTTAATTTAAGGGACACCAACATCTGGCTGTAATCAAGCAAATCATGATTATAGTGTTAAACATGAAAGCTCTCATATAAACAGCACATGTGTTTGTTCTAAACTATACAAATTCAGACCAGCACTGTGTCCATACACACACAAAAAGTGGCTTTTTTTTTTTTTCCAGATTAAAGACTCTTTCTCCTCCCAGAGATGGGAAGGGAGGTGGGGAAGACAGAGCTATTTGGCAAGCAAGCGGGACAGACAGATCCTATACGAACTCTTTGCTGTTGTGTATATTTTGAGGTTTCTGCTAAGCTCAGATAGATAAGAACTGACAGCAGACAATGTAAATGTTTCACGTTCATTTTTTCACAGTTTTTAAGATTTAGGAAGGATTAGCCCAAACATTTCACCAGTGTAGCAAATCTTCAACAATCCTAGTTAAATTAAACAAGCATGCTTGCCATTAGTCTTGCAACACATGACAAACAGACAAAAATAAGAGTTCGGAAGTATTTCAGCATAGGCTGCTCCTCTTCTAATAGCAAAAGATTCCAAATACAAATGTTTAAGTAAGATTACATTGTGCCAAATTAAATTCACACAGCTGAGACATGACATGTGAGAAACAATTCGAGCGCTAAGTGTGTATTTTACTGAATTAATTTTTTAATTTCTCTAAAAGAGTAAGGTGCAAGCTATATGAACAACAACATCATCTTTTTACCAGAAGCCTAAAACATTAAGCTTTTTAAAGACATACATATCTGCGATGGTCATCAACGGAGAAGCAGAGAACAGAGATCCTGCATGACAAAGGCTGCTAAGCATTACATTCTGGTTTCATGTTCGAGTAGGATAGGAAGGTCAATCTAGGCCCCATTTTGAAGTCTTCTCAGTGAAGTAAGAGTCCATGTTAGGACCATTTAGCTGAATGGAAAAACAGTCCTTGAGCTGTGCCATGCACTGGTGGTGCTACAAGGCCAGAGGGACCGCAGGGGATTCAGAGCTGTTCAGCCCCTCTGCTGGGTGAACTCACGTGAAGCCAGGCTGCTTACAGAATCTTTCAGCACACATACACTTGTTTTAGAATTCATCAGATACTGAAGTGCTTTAAAGCATCAATAAATCCATGCTCTAAATATAAAGAACCACTTTAATGATGGTAAGAACTTGGCCTACTATTGGAAATTTCCTCAGGACTCAAGACTTTTCAAGAGTCACTGTGTACACTTCAAGACTAATACACGATTGCTTTATTGAAGAGGAGGTAATTAAATACTTTACAGAATGTTTATACAACTCTTGCTGGCTGAATAGATTTTTTTACTGAGTATTTGTTGTTTATGTTCAAACCTCTGACAGAAAAAGATGGCTGAGAGAATGGGATTACATATAAATAGGTTTTCCCAAGAGCAACATCTTTTGAATGTGTTCATTACTTGAATTTGAGACTAATGTACTCAAGAGCAAGGCAAACACACTCTAGCCACTTAGTCCAGTCCTTTTATCATTATACTCACCGCGCTGTAAAAATGAGGCATTGCAGTTTAAGTAGCGTATGTTTTTGTCATGTGTAACACTGCTGAAAGGAAAGAGGCTACTGCATTACATTCTATAAAGCAAAACCTGTTAAACAGAGGCAGCATTAAAGGAGAGTAATGAGTCTTACCTGATTGAATGCGATCTATGGTGGATGTACAAGGAAAGAAAAGCAAGAGATACAAGTATTATGACAATGTAACAAAAACATACATATATATATATGTAGCATGTCAGACTACCTGAGGAGAAAATCATTTATATTTAAATTTTCATGCTGGAATTCACACTAGAATGTGAATCAGCTGAGATTCCTTAAAATCAAAAATTTTCATATGCTCCTTCACTACTCAGTCAACTATTTTGTGTGCAATGAAGAATAGAAGCTTTGTCTGCTAAACTTTGTGTTCTCTTCAGTAGACCAGATTTAAACAAGGGTAACCATTTGCCTTTCCAAAATCCTACCCTATTGCCATTAAAGAGAAAGTACAGGTGAAATGGAATTGTACATTTACATCAGCAGCAAATGTCTTTTTCCCCTCTAGATTTCTTAATCATAATTTAGTTCAGAAGAGCATGGAAAAAAATAAGGGGCTTTTAATTCCTAAAATGAGATTTTCTAAAATACTTCTTCCTCATTGAAAACAATATTTGAAACACTATGACACTGTTTTCTAGCTCACAAGAAACTTAATTAAGGTGGCAGAACTGGGAGAGGCACAATGTTACACAGTATTCAAAGGATGTCACTGAGGTTCTAAAGTCAAGAAATGATGAGGCAGACAGCCTCTCCTTCATCTGTGTGTTATTGATGTAGTCTTTAATTACAGACCACTTCAAGGGAACACCTGCCTCATGCAGAGAGGCGGATAGATGGTGCACACTTAATGAACACCTCTTCAATACTTATTTTTCACATCCTTTTTCAACATGTGGTGTAATGCATTATTTACTGCACAATTTTCATACCTTGCTCTGAAGAAGAGAGTTTATTTCTTCAGGGTTATTTGCAGGGATCATCATCATGTTTACTGGTGATTCTCAAACATTCATGGATTTATCTCCGCAACACTTATCTGCTTATTAATACTATTGTCATATGTAGCCTCCTTCTCCTACCTGCTGACTCACAGTAACAGCCACCCCCTTTCTTCATGTTAATACAGATACTTGTAGAGTCATATGATAAAAGAAATCTGTGTTACTGCAGAGCTCTAAAAATCAGCACAAATGAAGGGGGAGCATTAGTAGAAATGAAAGGAAACAACTGCTTCACCCATCAGGAAAAGAGATGTTTATGAAATTACATTCTGAAGCAGGCCAGCATTATTATTTCCTTTATAGGGGATATCAGAGACACAGAGGTTTAAGAATGGTAGTTTTGGGTATGGCAGATACAATATTTCAAGGAATTCAGTTCCCAATATCTTCATGAACAGTTTTAAGTGCCAACAACATCCCTAGAACACAAAAATCCTGGTAATGTACAGCAAAAGGCTGTGTAAAAACTTCACCACCACCCGTTACCACAAAAAAAAGCCCCAAAAGGTGCAATAATAAAGGCACAACAAAAATCAACACACAGTGTTATTTAGTGCTTCCACAGCACTAAAGAAAATTAATTATACCTTAGCCATCTCCAACAGATATTGGGCTAACCCCCTTCTAAAAAATTCCAGTGAGAAAGATTTCACAGCCTTCAGAAATAGCCTGTGCCCCTGTTCAGCTGCATTTGTGAGCCACTAGCCTAGGGCTTGCCAAGCCTTTATCTGCAAAGCCACCGCCCAGATGGCTGGTCAGTGCTTCCCATCTCTGCTTCTGATTTTTTTCCATCTGTCAATAAAGCACTTTAACACTTTCCTAAACTGAATTTTATTTTATCATTTTAAATAATTTTGAATTCTAATCCTGGTGTCTAAAGTGCTTGCATTCCCTCCCACTGCAGCCATCTGTGAATTTTAAGCGTACACATGATGCCATCATCTAAACCAGTAATGAAAATCCTGAATAACAGAATCAGGACGGATGCCTGAAAAATCCTGCATTATGGTGAACTACTGAGATCTATTCTTTGAATATCATTTTCAGCTCCCTGTGCCCTCTTCCTGCTACAGCAGTAACACCTAAATTGTATTTCTCTACTTCTGCAAAAACAGTATGGACAGCCTTACCAAAGTCAAATTCTATCATTTCTTCTGCCTCCCCTCTGTCCTCTATGACAGGTGCTGTCAGTTCAAGGTAATTGCTCTTGACAAAGCCTTTTATGTTTTTGCCATCATGCTATCTTCTAGACACTTGGAAAATAGCAGGTCACACGTTCCCCCAGTATCTGCTTTGTATTTCGCAGAACTTCCCTTGCCCCTTCCCAGGGGGATGAGCCTTGCCTTCCTCCATCCCTCTGGGACGTCACACGCCTTCTTTGCTGATTTCTGTCATCTCTGAGCAGCACATTCAGCTGCCACAGCCATGCCCCCACGGCTCTCCCTCCCTGCAGTCGTCTGTCTCTTTCCACACGTGCCTTCCAACTCCTGACAGTAATGAGGCATTATATTACCTTTATCCATTTTGAGAGCAGGCTCATCCCAGGCATGGAATTTGAAAGGGGTCTGTGTGATCATGTAGTTCAAGAAAATGTACAAGGCAGTTGAATGACAAATGTATACACAGTGTAACTGCTGACATCCCAATCTGCAAGCTTGTCTTTGTTAGCTTAATATTTAAACACATTTACTTGTGTAGTAGCAATGTATGTGGTAGCGTGCATGTAGTACTGTAGTGTACTTGGTTTCCTTTCTCTGTTTTTTTGGGGGGTTATTTGTTGGTTTGATTTGTTTGGGGGTTTTGTTTGTTTTATTTAAAGCAAACAAACAAAAAAAAAACCAGAAAGTCTCCCACTTGGTATCACAACTAAAAAAAGCCTTTGGCAGGGCTAAACTCTTAGATCCACATACACAGCTCCAGAGTAGTCCAGCAGTACTGCATGAAAAGATCTACACGTTACCAGTATGCAAAGGAGCAAGAGATAAAGACCCTCAACTCTATATCACATCAGTGCTCCACATGGGAAAAACTGTGTTAAAATATTAATGTAACCTCTCCTTCTGAGAGATCTGAGTCCACACTACTGCCCTAAGAGTGATGTGGGACTCCTCCCCTCTGCCTTCCTTTCCCATGTCAGAAATTATTAAAGGAAACAATATGAGCTAGGGGTGGAGGGGCAACAAAAAATCCTCATGATAATCCTCATTAATCATAAAAACAATTAATGAAGAATCTTTTGTCTTAACTATATTACTAGTGTCTGGTTTGTATCCTGAAGCAAAAGTATCTGTTTACTTGTTTTATATGCATTTCTGGTATTTCTCATAATATCATAACGTTAAATAGAATATATGACAACTGTAAAGAGACTTTGCAAGCACTAATAATTAAGACAGAATTTTGAAGATGTAAAATGCTAGTGATTATTCATGCAGAAAAGAATTAGGGAGTTGCGACACTGGAAAGCTGGGGTGGGATGAAAGAGAAGCACAGCAGCTGCATGAAAAGCTCTCTATTCCCAAAGGGTGGACTCACTGTTCTTTGGGAGACACAAATTTTGTCTTTTTTCTTTCTTATAGATTGCATCATCTCAAATTCTAACACAGAAAAACAGCACCTTTAGGGGAGTCTATCTGGCCTGTCACTGATATATGACATTTTAGTAGTATTTTTAGAGATTATACGAGTTGAACATTAACACCCTGCGTCTTCAGAACAGAACTGTGTGTTTCATGTGGAGCTCTGTAGAGTTGACATAGCTAACCCAGAAAACAGGTTTTGTTTCACAAAGGCAGCAGGCTTCAAATATTTAGTCAGGCTCACTGCAAACCTTTTCAAAATTCCCATTGCCACAGGCAGAGGGTAAGACTGCTGAACATACTGGAATTATGACAATCATCTGGATTTTAGAAATCAGTTCCAAGCATCTGCTCTGAATGCAACAGGGATTTGCATCTGGATGCCATTGGTGACTATCAGCCCTAATGCCTAATCAAGAGAATTAAGGCAGAGTTTAACGTGAGATTAAATCAGCATTATGGGAGGGGGTGGTGATAATCCATACACTAGATCATTGAAATAAAATTATTTGGATTAGCAAAAAAGCAAGCAAACAATGAAACAAAAAAAACAGACCTCCTTACAGCCTACTCCCCCAAAAAAGGCTGGCATTGGACTGGGAAAGGGAAGATTTCCAAAACAGGCCATTTAAGTGACAAGGTTTACAATGGGACCCACATGGAACCACACTTGCCCAAGTAGAGCCAAGACCTTAGGCTGGCTTATTTGCCGAGGGAAGCATACTGACCATTACTGCAGATTTAGGATGTTCAGCAGATGCAGAGGGCCCAAGTCATGCCATGCTTTATATAACTATGGGATTGTGGCTGTACTGTTTCCGGCTTCATCATCAAGTGCCAAAAAGACTCTCCTGAGAGGTTAACCAAAAAATGTAAGCATGCACAAAACATGTCAGTCCTGGTAGCTCATATTTTCCTGAAAAATTCCCAACCAAGTTCAAGGTAATAATTTTGATCAGGAAAAACTGCTAGAAATGCATTTCTCAATTAACCAAAATGCCTACCAAAAAACCTTAGCCTTTGTATTGAGCCCTCGGCTAAAGGGATGATGGGATAAATACCACCCATCTGCTTTCCAAGTGCTAGTCAGAAGCACCATCCCCACGGGGGTGGGGGTTAGTACCAATAGGTAGGACAAAGGAATCTGCTAGTAGTCATTAATGAAGGGAAATAATAAAGGAAAAACATGCTTTATTACAGTGAAGACATTTCTGCCTTTGCAGTTCACCTCATGCCCTGTGCAAAGCACAAGCAACAGGACCAGAGAAGGACAAAACGGTGAAGAGTTATCCTTCCATCTATGATCAAGAGCCAGTGTTCAAGGTATTTGCATGTGAACCGTTTGGTCACTGCTGTAGGATCTAAAGCACAGAAGCAGCAATGGGACCTGTTCACTGCGCAGAGGGCCTGTCCTTGCTACAAGAGGAAGTCTTAGAAAATAACAGAAAATGAAACAGAGGATATGCTGGTGCCACATATGTTGGTGCACACTCATCTCACACGTTTCTCAAAACTGCAGAGTACAACTATAAATGCAGGGAAGGCAGGAAGAATAAGCAAAGGTAGGAAAAAGGCTTATAGAAGCAACTCATGCAGCTGGAGCCTCAGTCTGGAATAGAGGGAACTGAAGTGAAATCAGGAAATCACGAGTAACATGAAGGACTGCAGAAGGACTACACTCATCATTTCTCATAAGAGAAGAGCCAGAAGGCACCAAAGGAAAGACCAGGGAGACTCAGAGTAGGGAATGAATGAATGAACAAATAAGTCACACACTTCTTTACCACATAACTATCTGTTCATCTAGGGAGACATGAGGCATTACGAATGTCAAAAGCTCATACAAATGAAAATAAATTAATATTTATATAAAATTAATTAAGAAAAACCCTTCAAAGACTTTTAAATGGAAGTTCAAATCTCTGCTTTAGAAGGTTTTCACCTCTCAGATTCCTCAATGCTAAAAAAATGTACTAGGAAAATGTAACTTCATGCCTCCTTATTCTTATACCCTTTTCTAGGCCTGTACTACCTACGGATGTTTAACTACATTAAGTAAAACATTTCTTAGTTTACGTTCATACCCTGGTTGCAAGTCACTCACTAGATTTCCATTTTAAACTGTAATGTGGAAAATACGTTGTAAAGCACATCATATCCCAATGAAGATTTTCCTTTTTTTAGTTTCACCTAGAAACACTGTAATAATCTTTTAAAGGGCTTATTAAGCTGTATGCAAAAGGGAGGTATGAAGGATGGACTCTAAAGATTTATTAAGAGTCAGATTAAAAATTAAAAACTGGAAAAAATGTTATAAGTTGTAGTTGCCAAGATCTATGCTTCAGCCATTTGCAGGGAAAACAACAACCACCACCACCAAAAAAACCCCACACAAACCAAACCATATAAATTTGAAATACTGTACAAAGTATTCATACAGTTCTTAGGCTATCATTACCTCATATACAAGAAAACTGAAAAAAAAAAAAAAAGTGAGCACATACCAATATCTCTAATAAATGAGACCCTAATTCTGCAGCTCAAACATTATACTGTAGAATTACCCACATCTATTTATTTCATCACAAAAAAAACCAACTTCCTAATACAACTGAGAAGAAGTTCCGTAATCCTGCCTTAGTTGAAAACTAAAGTGCTGGTTTACAGTATACAATTTCTTCATTTATGCTGGCTTTGTCAGAAACTTTAAGATCAACATTTTTAAAGACACATCAACATATAAAGCCTGATATTTAAGTTCCATTTAAGAGATACTTCTGACCTGAACTCCTGTTACTTTCATATCTGGTTTTTTTTCATACATACAACTGCAGAACAGAACTCTGCCTTTGTACATCTTGAAAAAAAGATTAAAAAAAAAGCCTGAAATATTTTTTGATTTATCTTTCCACAAACAGCTCCAAGCCAGGTTTGTTGTCCTCAGATAATCTTGTTCTCTAAGAATCCATGTATTAATAAAACTGGATCAATAAAGATCTATAGCAATTTTTTGTTCCATTTTACTTGTACAATTTCTTGAGTTTGCAAAGTTATTCCCAAATGGTTTCAAATTGCACTTTTTTTTCTAACTAGGATTCAAATAGGAATTGTATCTTCATTCATTGTTATCTCTTTGGTTGACACCATGACCATTATAAAATACTGACTACAAACTACTTGCATCTTTAAAACAGTAATGCAGAAGAAAAAGAAGAGCTGACAGATGACTTATACTTTTTGTCCTCAAAATAAGGCCAGAGAAGCAGCAGATCCCTATACCTCATATCTCCAAACTTCTTGCTGATAGCAGTTCCTACATTGCTGATAGCTGCTGTTGCTTTTTGTCCTGCATGGCTCAGGGTCTCATGTGTTTTCTTGTAACTGAAAACAAAAAGAAGAGAAATACTGATAAGTATTTAAAAAAGAGAGGCTAGAATACCCTCACTTTTCCTTTATTTACACATCTTAAAGTCCCACCCACTAAATGATTAAGAAACATAGTAACTATAGCGCAAAACAATTACAAAGGTGCCTGCTTCTGCACAGCTTTCTAAGTACAGTTTAATCTTAATGTGAGCAAAATGCTCAATCCTTCACGAGTCCTCTCCCTCTTGCAGATAACATCCCCTGAGTAGGTCAGTGCAAGCTGTCTAAAAGTAGAATACAGTGATTTGTTGAATACCTGTCTGATGTAATTTCTGTAAATTTACGTCAACTAAGTATGCTGGCAGCAGTCACTGACTTGGTAGCAAAATCTGTCTAAAGCACAGAAAAGAATCAGGACACACAAGTCTGCTCCTCCATGCATAGACATATTAAGTACATCTAACAGATGTCCTTCAAAATGATTTGTTGGTATTTCAAATTAGACAAAATTGATCAAATCTGTTTCCATATGCTACAATCGTACTTTAAAAAATTTCTTTAAAGGAAGGTGGTTTTGGGAGAGACAGAGAAAGAAAGATGAAAAATCTAGGCAGTGAATAACGCATATTGTAAAGAGCACTGAATCCTTTTAGAAGTCATTCATCTCATGTATAGCATATACATTCAAGCACAGTCATCTTACATATATATATTATATATATAATATATTCTCTGACCCACATATTCAACTCTTCAGTATGGTTAAGTTGCATGCTCAAAGTAATAAATAAGCTGTTCTGCACAGATGATTTTTTGCTGAGTAAACTAACTCTGAGCACGTCAGAAGCTTCCTTCTGAGTAAGTTATCTGATACTCCCAGTGACGCAGACAAGCTCAGAATTAGAAGTACTGACCTAGTAACAAAAGGAGAGCACACTATAATCAGCCTTGTATCCTGTGGTGTGTGTTGGCAGACAAGAACTGAAGAAATGATCATGAAAAAATCAGAAATACAATTCCACTGGCTCTAATTGTTCTTTGAACAAATGCTGTAAGATTGTAAGCAAGTACCAAAATACACCAGAGATTCACTAAAAAAAAAAAAAATCCCACTGCCTAATTCCTGAAACAGTATCATCTTCTTACTTTTAGGCATATTCAAGCCATATGAGTTTGTGGATGCAGGGAGGGAAATAAGAGAAGATTAACATTTGCAATATGGCACATGGCATTTTATGTCAGGCCCTTTTAGCCTCAGCACTCCCTATTGCTGCAAGTCCCCTGTTGAGGACTGTGTTTTACAAACCACAGGGTAGAAGGCAGACGCCAAGTAATGCTCTACTCTTCTAGACAATAGTTGAGCAACAACTAATTTTTGCCAACACAAATTCTTTGATTTTACGTTCCTTAGCCACGAAATATCTTATAGTACTACTGAGCTAACAAGTTCTAAAACTGCCAAGTGAAATGGCTCCTTCTATGATGGTGTTTGTCTCTTGTTTTCACTGCCTAGAAAGCCAGTCCGCAGAGAACTACGAGCATGTAGTTATTTGATAAGTGTTGCCTATGAAATAAAAAAAGAATAATCAAATATTCTAATGGCTGTGGGTTTCTATCTAACCAAGCATTTTTTAAAATGCCTATATTATCACATACAAGTCTTTAAGAATATTCCTAATAGAGAAGTTTCCTGAAGTATTCAGCACAAGCGCAATTTTGCTGATGACAAAATGAAGTCCAAGACTTGACTTCCAGGTATAAAAGGTCCTTAGTAGCAGAATCTGTTTATGTACAGGTTGACTGTACATAAGAAAATACTTTGCAGATATCCTTCTGAACTTTTTTTTTTTTTTAATAAGGCACCCACAAGTTCATTTTATGCACTGGCATACTTAGTTCTATGAAAAAAAAACACCTCCATGTTTTACCTTTCTTCACAGGTTCTTCTCACTGTGTAAAACTCTTAAGAGAATGCCCCAAATATCCCCCATGGCAGATAGAGTCAACTTTAATTGAGAAACATTTAGAGCTCCCTATGTATTTCTGGACATTACACTGGTCAGAACACACAGGCTGAACAGCCTGGGAACAGGCTGAAATGACATCAATTTTGGCATTCTAACTCATGTTGTGTTTTCTCTGTAAATCCCATAAACCAAATATCCTCCCCGGTATTTCCAAGAACAAGGAAGTCAGAGACTGAATTTGTGTTCCTAATGCCTCTGACATTACGTAACAGCGTAAATCCAGCTAAAACTGTTATGCAACTGGTCTTTTTTCAGCACCAGCTGCAGCAAAAATGGCCTTAGACATGAACCTCTCCTCCCTTTGAGAATGCTGAGGAGGAGCTTTAAGGAAGAACAGAATAACAAAGGTAAAAATCCAGTGCAAAGTGCAACACCTGTCAGCAGAGACAAGGAACAGTGATTTGCATCTTAGTAAAGCTCACTGTTAGCTTAAAAATCAAGCCTCCCCCATCCCTTCCTCTCCACCATTCTGCACATCACTGATCTTCATAAATAAATTCTGCTTCTACAGAGCATTGTCTTACTGTAGTTAGTTATGCTCTGCTCTGATATACAGCACAGCATTTTGGCTCAGATATTTTTATCATCATAGTTATGTCAAATTTACAGCATTCATTTGATACCTTGCCAAAAACTCTGGTAACAATGATCTCTGCAACATATTCTCTCTCTGACCTCTGGCAATCTTCTCAGTTGTATGTAGCACTACTAATCTGAGCCAGCAGTTTTCATACCCTAATGTAACACACATCAGTTTGCAGTTTTCTTTTAATGCACTGAACATCTTACATAATTTTCACAAAACTTTAAGAGCAGAAATAAAGTAAGATATTCCAGGTAAAGGCATACCTACTAACATTGATTCATTGGGAAAAGTGTGGTACATATGGCTTAAGTCCTCCTAACACCAACTGTTCCAGCATGCTAAGTCAGCTACAACATCTGCACACCCTCATCCTTCAAGCACCCACTGTTGGCAATTGTTAGGCAAGTACTGCCCACCAAGCTCTCATGCTATTTGATCTCAAACATCTCAACACAGTACAGAATTGCCCTTCACATGGCAAAGTTAAATCTAACTTCCCTTCACAGGTGAAATACATGAGCTGCCGTGGAAGTAGGCTACAAATACAACACTCATGTTTTGCACAGCAAGCTGCACATTTGATGTACTACAGTAAACAACAAAGATTTTAAATTCACGTTCTGTAAAATTAGTACATCTGCTAATTAGTATGCCTTCATTCAGCATTGTGCCTCTCCATCAATGCTTGCTGGCAAAATTAATCCACTTCAGAAACCCTGGTCTGTGCTAGAGCTTACATAAGATGCAACAAAATGCAAACAATTAACAACAAAACCATACAGTAGAGCAGAGCCTGGTAGCACAAGTCATGCCCTATGGAGTTTGCTTCTCTTTAATTTTCAAACCCTTAGTCAGCTTAAGAATGACAGTTCTGGAACATAAAGCATCTGGACCTCTGAGAAACTCTCAGCTGGAAAAAAAATTTCTGAGGATTTTCTGGGAAAAATAAGGCTCAGCATTAACTAAATTATACTAATGCTTAAATGAAATAAATGCATATATGAATGGTAGACAACATGTACACAAAGCATTCTCTAAGAGCATTCTTCAATTCGTATTGCCATTTTGCCCACAAATGAACTCGAAGGTGTGCATTTGTAGTTTTTAGTGCTCAGCTGAAACCTATTTCAACTTCAAAAACAAAGGTAAAATGTACTTTTTAGACATTCCCCCCTTTGCCAGGTATGTTAAGAGCTAATTGAAAATGTGTTGGCATTTGGATGGGTACAGATGCCTACATTATTCAAAGGAAGTACACCCTGGGTAGTTCCTCTCCCAGAGAGAAAGGAAGGGTAGAGTTGAGGGACCCAAACCTCTGCAGATCTCAGGGGACCTGCCTGCAGCCAGAAGTCTGTGTGCAGCACATGGAAGACTGTTCAGTAGACTAGAGAGAGTCATAGGTCAGGAAAAGTGCCAGACAAAGGTGACAAATATTCTGTGCTCTCTTGCACTATAGTCTTCAAAGACTTGGGAAAGATTTGGGATACAGTTGTGTGAAAGGCACTATTTGTGGAATTCAGCATAGAATAGGGGAAAGCCAAGCAGTTGTGATATAGTTACAGTGGGTTTTCCCCCAAGAAACCAACACTATTATTCATTGATCTGGAACAGATCACCTAAGCTTGCTGGCGAATTTCCATTACCTGAAGGTTCTAGTGTGAACAAGCCAATACACATCTTTTAGAAAAGGGGCAGTGAGAATAGACTAAATTAACTTCTCAAAGCCCTTTCTCCAACCTTATTACTCCACCTTTCCAAATTCAAGGCCAGAGATACATGTGGAAAAGTAGCAGAAAATGATCTTTGAAGTAGGTATGAACATTGCCTGATCTGACCCAAAGGACACAGTCAGTGGAAGTGAGAGGCTCGCTTTAATTCCATGTAGCACAGGCTCAAGCACAGGTAGTGGGCTGTGCAAAAGCCAACATGCAATTTCTTCACTTACACAACTGCTACATTTACTTGCAAATTTAGAGAAGAAAATGTCAAAAGGTGATTACACATTGCAATGAACAGAAACACCCACATTTTTTTTACTACCACTCATAACAAGTACGTTTGTGGGAAAATGGTATACTACATTCCTAAAAGACACAGTAGGACTGTAGCTGTCCACAAATTACATCTGACCTCCTGAGAAAACTCTAGAGCCTCTGGAACACATTATTATATATTTAAAGTTATACTAATGAACACTGTAGGCACCACAGATTGTAAGTCTAAAACACATGCAGCACAGCTATTACCTTCTATTTTCTCATCACCTGGCAGAAATTTGAACTACAAAACGTTAAGTTCCCACTATTTGTGGAAACCCATACAATTGTCCTCAGGTTCCCTATGAGCAGAACTAGGTTTGCTCAAATAGTTCTCAACCAGTAGTCAACAAAGAGATCTTTGTT